ATTTGCGCCCCCGCAAGCAAGGCAAGGGTGCAAAATCGTCAAGCAAAGCCAAGCCCGCAACGTCGTGCGCGGTCGAACAACCATCCAACCATTTTGGGCGAGCCTTTTCGTCGAACGGGGGAGTGATCAAGGGCAATCTCGTCTCGCTTCGGACAATTGTCCTTTATTTTGGGGCAACTAAAACTTAGGGGCAATAGACATATCGAGGCAACCCATGCTTTCTAGGATCGTCATGCACCCCGCTAAAGGTGTCGACATAAAGGGATCGACAAGACATGTCACTTAAATAGTGCAAGGCAATCATTGCAAGAACCGATCAATTGCAAGGTACACCAATCAATGTAGAGGTGCAGGTCCCAACAGTTTGATGCTAAAGCATCAAGCCTGCTAACCCAAGCAACCAAAATCACTACTCATGCGCCGTACGCCACAATGGATTTGAACGATGCTCGACTATTTGCGCCCCTGCAAGCAAGGCAAGGGTGCAAAATCGTCAAGCGAAGCCAAGCCCGCAACGTCGTGCGCGGTCGAACAACCATCCAACCATTTTTCCAAGCCATCTCTTTCTTTCTTATGGGCRAGCCTTTTCGTCGAACGGGGGAGTGATCAGGGGCAATCTCGTCTCGCTTCGGACAATTGTCCTTTATTTTGGGGCAACTAAAACTTAGGGGCAATAGACATACCGAGGCAACCCAGGCTTTCTAGGATCGTCATGCACCCCGCTAAAGGTGCCGACATAAAGGGATGGACAAGACGTGTCACTTAAATAGTGCAAGGCAATCATTGCAAGAACCGATCAATTGCGAGGTACATCCAATCAATGTAGAGGTGTAGGTCCCGACAGTTTGATGCTAAAGCATCAAGCTTGCTAACCCAAGCAACCAAAATCACCACTCATGCGCCGTACGCCACAATGGATTTGAACGATGCTCGACTATTTGCGCCCCCGCAAGCAAGGCAAGGGTGCAAAATCGTCAAGCAAAGCCAAGCCCGCAACGTCGTGCGCGGTCGAACAACCATCCAACCATTTTTCCAAGCCATCTCTTTCTTTCTGATGGGCAAGCCTTTTCGTCGAACGGGGGAGTGATCAGGGGCAATCTCGTCTCGCTTCGGCCAATTGTCCTTTATTTTGAGGCAACTAAAACTTAGGGGCTTATAGACATACCGAGGCAACCGGGGCTTTCTAGGATCGTCATGCACCCCGCTAAGGGTGCCGACTTAAAGGGATCGACAAGACGTGTCACTTAAATAGTGCAAGGCAATCATTGCAAGAACCGATCAATTGCAAGGTACATCAAATCAATGTAGAGGTGTAGGTCTCGATAGTTTGATGCTAAAACATCAAGCCTGCTAACCCAAGCAACCAAATCACCACTCATGCGCCGTACGCCACAACGGATCTGATCGACGCTCAACCATTTGCACCCGTGCAAGGAAATCAAGGGCGCAAAATCGTCAGGCGTAGTCAAGCCCGCAACGTCGTGCGCGGTCGAGCAACCATCCAACCCTTTATCCAAACCATCTCTTTCTTTCTAATGGGCGAGCCCTTTTTTCGAACAAGGGAGTGATCAGGGGCAATCTTGTCTCACTTGGTACAAGCATGCTGCGACTCTACAAGCTAGGTCGTTTCGTATTATCGAAAGCTAACAAATGAAACAGCCATGTGCAAGCATCATTGAAGCAAGCCCGCCTCAAGTTCGACTCGACAACCCCTTTTCACTCCCTCGTCCGATGGAGGGGCATAGGTGTACATTTGATCCAATATGCCACAGGAAAAGTTCAACTCCTAAGTAACCGTTGGTCTTATATTTAAAGGCAACCAATTCTTAAAGGACAACCGACATATAGATATATAGATGCAATCAATTTTAGGGACAACCAACATATCTAGGCAACCATTGTTTCAAGAAAACAAGTTCTAAGGGACAAATGACATATCAAGGCAGCACATTGGTCCTACATTTCGAGGCATCTAATTTTTAGGGACAACCAACATATCAAGGCAACCATTGGCCAACAATTTGAGGCAACCAATTTTAAGGGACGACCAATATCTAGGCAACCATTGTTTCAAGAAAATAAGTTCTAAGGGACAACTGACATATCAAGGCAGCACATTGGTCTTACATTTCGAGGCATCTAATTTTTAGGGACAACCGACATATCAAGGCAACCATTGGCCAACAATTTGAGCCAACCAATTTTAAGGGACAACCAATATATCGAGGCAATTATTAGTCCTACATCTYAAGCCAACCAACTTTTGGGAATAAACGACATATTGAGGCAACCATTAGTCTGGTATTTCAGGGCAACTATTTTTTAGGGACAATCGAGATATCGAAGCAACTATTGGTCCTATATTTCGAGGAAACCAATTTTTAGGGAGATCTGACATATTGAAGCAACAATTGTCCTTTACTTTAAGGCAACTAATACTTAGCTATAGGGAGATTCTTATAATATTAATATATCATGCTTCTAATACTCTATACATTAGAATATTTATGGAAGAAACAAGACATTTCAATTTAACTATTCTATTACTCATTTAATCTTTTTAAATTGATCATTTCATGAATAACATTCAGATGCTTCAAATAAAATAATAGTTAAGCAAAAAAGTCTAACCGTGTGAACAGAGATTCAAATTTAAAGATACTCTTGAATAATTTGACTTTTCCACAACTATCACCATAAAACTTTAAATTTAAAATAATATTATGCATTACAAGTAACCCAACAATCAAAACAGAATGAATGAAATATATCTAAATCGTGTATTCAAATACTTTAATTTCAAAGAAAAGAAGAACTCCGTTCAAATTTAGATTTAAATTCTCAAAATAAAACTCCAATAAATGCAATAAGTGCACAGTGTGCATATTCTAAAACCAAATTGTTAACTCATCCCTCATGCATAATTATATTGGAGAGATAGGATAATAATCATAACTACCAATCAATCCCAAAAAGCCAACTAGCTAAACTTACCCATTTCTAGCTTAAATGAAGGAATGAGAATTTCATAAGGTCTTTAATTAGTTTAACAGGTAAAAGTTACATTAAATTATTTAAAATCTATTATTACTCAAAAATCACAAAACGCAGTGAAAATAAACAATTGAATGAGAATTAGAATTATACGTACCAGATAGGTAGATACCAATGCCAAATTGCAATCCTTCCTTCCATTATTCTTCCTTTGTCGAAGCCACCAGATCACTCACAGTAGAAGTGACATGTGAAAACTTGCTAGAGTGTGCTGCATTTAGATATCATCCAAGATATAATTATAGCTTGGGAGCTTGGTATAAACTTGCGAGAAACCTAGGCATCTCAAACAATTTCGAGATAGATTGTGTAAAATTGTTAGAGTCTTTTGAATGGGTTAGAAGAATAATGTGGTTGGGGATTTCATATTACTAGATGTAGGACAATGGTTTTTTTTTTTTT